GGTGTGGGGTTAAGGGTTTAGGGTTTGGGGTTAAGGGTTAGGGTTTGGGGATAAGGGTTGAGGGCTATGTGCTTAGGGTTCAGGGTTTGGGTTAAGGGTTACGGGCTGAGGGTTTAGGGTTCAGGGGGGCGTTGATCCAAGGTTTCAGGGTCTGAAGTGTTTTGAGGCATCAATGGGGTGTGCCGAAAGGATGTTCAGAGACTTCTGTTACGAGATATGGTGGGGGTGAGATCGGGGATTGGGGCTTCTGTGAGAGGGTTGAGGTTTCAGTGTTCAAGGCTCTTGGGATTCGGGGTTACGCATTGCAGTAGGTCTTCCGGACGTGGGATTCGGGATCAATGGGCATCCCCGAAGTAAGAACGTAGTTTTGGGAACGTGCTGCTAGTTACGGCCTTGGATACCCTGGGTATTACGGTGTCATACAGCTGAGACCTCGGGTAATATAGATGCCTGAATAGTTACCCATACTATTTTTGAGGGGTTCCTTATGAAAAGTTGTAGAAAAATATTCCCCCCAAACCCTATTCTAATTATGACTGTAGTTGTAGTATAATATCCCCCAAACTCTGTTCTAATTATCAAGGCTCCTACATTCGAGGCTTTGAGGGCCTTGGAGATTCCTCAGCGGAGTCCGGGCTTGGGGCTTCCGGTCCACGCCGTCGGACGTCGGAAGTCGGGCTGCAGCGATAGCGATGCCCGCGGGTGAGGCCCGAGCCTTCAAACCCTAAACGCGGAAGCCTAAAGCCTAAACCCTAAAACCCTAAGACCCTAAACTCAAAAGCCTAAATGCTAAACCCTAAACCCTAAGACCCTAAACCCTAAACCCTAAACCCAAAGCCCTAAACCCTAAAACCCTAGACCCCAGACCCTGAACCCTAAGCCCTAAAACCCCTAAACCCTAAACTGCCCTAAACCCTTGCCGAACGGCCGGGGGACTGCCACGGTGCCGGCGTGCCAGGCCAAGTTCAATGGATCGAATCGGCTAATGTAGGGATTTAGGTTTAGGGTTTAGGGTTTAGGGTAGGAACCTGATTAAGACACCTTGGCCCTATAACCCAAATATGTTGGGATTCATATAAAGAAGCCTAGTGAAGATGCAGTGTTTCTTAATCAGGTTCCTATATTAGTCTCTGATTGTTAATAGTATGATTATTGTTCCTACTTAAGTCTCACTATTGGTGCTGTTACTCCTATTCTACCATTGATATGATTATTGTTATTGTCATTACTGTTATTTTTTGGTATGATTACTAGCATTCTGATTCTTCTTCTTCTTATCTTCTTTTTGTCTTCTTCTTATTTATGGCACAGGGGGCGAGTGCGGCTGACCGGAAGCTCAAGCTGACACAAGCATGGGGCCATGCAAGGAAACCCCAACCCAAAAACCACTCAAAAGACTCAGCCTCTTGCCCACCCAAATCCCCAAACCCTAAACCCTAAACCCTAAACCCAAAAACACTCCAAAGACTCAGCCTCTTACCCCCAAATCCCCCAGCCTTATGTCGATTAGACTCAAAGGCCAAGGCCAAGGCCGGAGAAGAGCATTCAATCTGTTTCCCCCATGTGCCCCAAACTCAGAGAATCCGACAGCCTTAGAGCCCTACCTTAAGAACCCAAAACCCACTTTTTTATAGGTTCTTATTATAAACCCTAATATGGGATTTATAGGGACCTTACAAAAAAGTAGGTCTTGGGTTCTTAAGGTAAGCCCTAAACCCTGAAACCCGAAATCCCCCAAAGTCCCGAAACCCTACACGCCCGACGTCTTCCGCAACATAAAAAGCCTAAGCCCTAAGCCCTAACTAACAGCCCGAAATCCCCGCAAAGCGTCTAAGCCATCAACCCTAACCCTAACCCCAAACCCTAAACCCTAAACCCCAAACCCTAAACCCTAAACCCCAAACCCTAAACCCTAAACCCCAAACCCTAAACCCTAGACCCTACATCCTAAACCCTACACCCTAATCCCTAAACCCTTCTCCCTGAGCCTACACCCTACATTGTCATGTCCGAAGAGCCCAAAAACCCCGAAACCCTAAACTCTAAACCCTAAACTCTATAAGCCCTTAGCCGTACAGCCTAGAAAAACCCTAAACCCTAAACCCTATAAGCCCTAAGCCCTGCAGAAACCCTAAACCCTAAACCCTAAACCCTAAACCCCAGACCCTAAACCCTAAACCCCACAGCCACGCCAAAGCTCAGCCTCCGCCCAGAGTAGGTCCACGTACGTTTTCGGCTCGGGGGACCCAGGCCTGCTGTGTCTAGGGTTTAGGGTTTAGGGTTTAGGGTTTAGGGTCTAGGGTTTAGGGTTTAGGGATTTAGGGTTTAGTGTTTAGGGGTTTAGGGCTTGAGGTGGTTTAGGGCTGTGTCTCCTGCCGTTTAGGGTTTAGGGGTTTAGGGTTTAGGGTTTAGGGGTTTAGGGCTTGAGGTGGTTTAGGGCTGTGTCTCCTGCTTTTTTTTTGAGAACTAGGGTTTAGGGTTTAGGGGTTTAGGGGTTTAGGGGTTTAAGGTTTAGGGTTTAGGGGTTTAGGGCTTCGGGATTCGTAGTATTGCTATTTGTATTCTTATTGGTACGGTTATTGCTTGTTTTTGCTTGCTTCTGCCTTTTAGGGTCGGGAGTTGTTTTGCTCTTTTTGTTATGTGTTCGGTAAGATTTACTGAGTCTTTTGCTCAGGATCCAGTTTGGGTCTTTGGGGTTTTTGGGGGTTGAAGGCGTGGGGTTCGGGGTTATCGTTTAGGGACGTGGTCTGAAGGGGGTTTAGGGGTATGAGCTTCGGGGGCAAGGGGTTCGTTCGGCTTCAGGGTTAAGGAAAAGGGGCTTCCCAGTGGCAGCGAGTTTTCTGGCTGGTTTGGGGTTTACGTTCTGGCAAGCATTGATTGCGGGGTTAAGGTGCAAGGTTGGGCTGGGGAGGCTAAGGTTTTCCGCTTAGGGTTAAGGGTTGGGGCTTCGGCGTAAGGAGTTTGGGGAAGTAGAGTTGCGGATGCGTGCTTTGGGCCTAGGTTCCACAATCCCTAAACGCCCGAAATCCTAAACTCGAAATCCACGAAGCCCGAAGCAATGAACGACTCTGGCAGCAGGTTTCCCCCGACGATCTATTACAAGATCTACACCCACGGCAACGTGGCTTGGCTGAAGTATTGCGCAGTCGACTGGAAGCCTAGACCCAATTGCGAAAACGTGATGAAACTAAATCCTAAACCCTAAACCTAAACCCTGAACCCTAAACCCTGAACCCTAAACCCCAACCCCTTAACCCTGGGTATTTTGGGGACCTGCAGTTTAAAGAAACGTCACAAGAGCCTCAAAGCCATGCAACACCCCGAAATCCGGTCCAGAAATCCGGCGCACGCCCCGACACCCAACTTCGGAAGGAACGCCCATAACACCATGCAGCACCATCCAAAGTCCCACAAAACTCTAAAACAAGAGCCACAGAAGCTTGTGACCAAGCTAACCCCTAAACCCTAAATCCTAAACCCCACACCCTAAACCCTAAACCCTAAACCCCAACCCTAAACCCTAAACCCCAAACCCTAGACCCTAAACCCCAAACCCTAAACCGTGACCTTGTAGCCAAGTCCCTCAAGAGGTGGTGGACCTGGGGAGCTTCGCGCCGCGAGACTACCACCTGGAACGTGTCAGCCAGGAGATTCGGGGTTAGAGGTTAAGGGTTTGGGGTTTAGGCTTGAGGGTTTAGGGGTTTCGGGGTTTAGGGTTTAGGGTTTAGGTTTAGGGGTTAAGGGTTTAAGGGTTTAGGTTTAGGGAAGTTTAGGGTTTAGGGTTTTGGAGTATATTATACGATTCCTAAACCCCCAAAGTAGGTAACATAATGGCCCATCACCTCTAAAAGGCTAGTCTTCTACATCTTTTGGGGATCCAGGTAAGGGTTTGGGATTATACTTACTCATCAGAATAGGGTTTTGGGTATAGTATACCATTAGTTATAAGGAATCCCCAAAGTAGCCTTGGTAATGATAGTTTCAAAATCGCACTAACCCTGAGAAACCCGAACCTTGGGTCACAAATCGCTGAAAAATCCCAACTGTAAGAAACCTTCCAACTCGATAGGGTTTAGGGTTTAGGGTTTAGTGTTTAGGGTTTAGGGTATTAGGGGCTCTTGCTAAAGCTTCGCTTAAGCTGCCATGATAGGGCAAGCATATCATGTTCCATAGATCGCTGTTTGGGATTATGTAAGTTTCTGAGCCCGTCAGAACCCTTCTCAAACACCAGACAGCCGTGGTAAACACCCAAAAAATCTCCAAATCTCTCTGGAACCCCACAAACACCCAGGTCTTTAGCTAAACCCTCAACCCTAAACCCTAAACCCTAAGAGCGCTGAAGACATTCAACCTTAGACCTTCAGCCGCTGAAGAGACTTCTGTCAGGAGAATGGCACAGCATTGCCAGGCAGGGCTCCCCGTTTCTCTTTGGTTTAGGGCTTAGGGTTTAGGGTTTAGGTTGGGGCCTTTTCCATGAGGCTCAGGGTTTGGGGTTTGGGTTGCCGAGGACTTGGGATGGATTAGGGCTGATTAGGGGCATATGATTTGAGGTTTATGGGCTTTGGGCTTAGGGTTTAGGGCTTTGTACGTTCAGGGGTCCGTAAGGTCTAGGGCAGGGTTCAAGAGACAGGATTTCGGTACAATTGAGACGAGACGTTTGGATTTTTTGTGCTTCGTGGTGTATTCTTCCCTCAAGACCGGGCCCCTTCACTCCCTTCGCAAAGGACATACGAGGATCCTACTTGTGGCAGCCATTTCTGTAAGGGGGATTTACATTATACTTGTAGGTTTAAGTGGGCCTATCCTCACGTCGGAGAAGAGCGGGGCACTCTAGGGTTCAAGGCAAAAAACTGCTTCCACTCAAGCCCCTCCCTCAGATCCTCAACCCTCAAAGCCAAAGCCCCAAGGTCTAGCAAAGTAATGCCACTTCCGCTCTGAAAATCCTAGCGTCGCAGACCCAGCCCTGGGACCCAACCCACTGCCCTGCCGTGTGCTTCCACGGCACAGGGGATTACAGCTGGTATCAGCGCATTGCAGCTCGGACGGTTTCGCGTTCGGGAGGCTTCAGTAGGTGAAGATTGGAGGCCCTTGAACCCGAAAAGCCCGAAACCCGAAACTCTGAACCCTAGACCCTTTTCAATCCGAAAGTCTAATCTAGACCCTCAGCCCTCTGTAACGCAGGGTCCCGTTTCGAATCCACCGAACGCCGGGCTTCTCTGCTAGACTGCTAGAACCTTAAGTGCAGAACCCTAATGAGATGTTAAGCGCAGATTCTTACGCTGTCAACCCAAAAGCTGAAACCCTAAGCCCTCACACCCACTTAGTTCCCCTCGTATTCCAGAGGGGAGTTGAGACGTGGACTTAACTTGGATTACCGAAGCCGACTTTTAAGTAGGGACCTTCGTATCGAATTTAGAGGGTCCAGGGTTTAGGGTTTAGGGTTTAGGCTCTTGATGATTAAGATCGCAACCCGCGAAGTGCGAGGTAGGGCGGAAGGTATTGAAGTCCGGTTTGCGTGGTCCCATAAACTTAGGCTATCTCATGGGGAAAGGCTCATCCAGTTTTTTTTCCACTGCATACTTGGATCCCTATACTCCAAGAGGTTTAGGAGTTTAGGGTATACAGATGCAAGTCAAACCTCCACCTGGTGCTGGCTTCTTGAGAGGGGCTTTATCACTACTATACACACGGCAACTGGCTAAAGACCTTACGAGCCTTGAGCCTGAATAGCATGCGTACAATTACAATGGCGGTGCAATAACCCTAGACCCTAAACCCTAAACTCTAAACCCTAAACCTTAAAACCCTAAACCCCAAGCCCTCTTATAGAAAAGAAGTTATGGAGCTCTTATGCAACCCTTATATGAAAATAGGGCTACGGATCGTGATGCTAAAGCTGGAGTCTGAGCTTGCAACACGAATAGAAACCGCAGGATGTAGGGTTTAGGATTTCGAATTTAGGGTTTCGGAGTTAATTTAGGGTTTAGGGTTCAGGGGAGCTCTTACAGCAACCCTTACAGCAGAAAGGACAATATGAACCGAGCATCCTTTCAAATCCGAGGAGAACAACGGCTGGAGGCCCCTGGCGGTGCGCCTGAAGAACACGGTGGAAGGCCTTGCGGACGAGGCTCGGGGATTTAGGGTTTAGGGTTTGGAGTGTTGGGTTTAGGATTTAGGATTTAGGATTTAGGGTTTGGGGTGTTCGGTTTAGGATTCAGGATTTAGGGCTTAGGGTTTGGGGTTTTGGGTTTAGGGTTCAGGGTTTAGGGTTTAGGGTTCAGGGTTTAGGGTTTAGGGTTTAAAACAAACT